AACAATGTTAAACAACACACATCAAGTATGTCATAATGATTACCTGACATTAATGAAAGCTATATTATATATATATTATGCATATGTTATCCAATAAATTAAAATTAACATGAAAATATTAGATATTTGCCATCTTTTATTTGAAATAAATATATAATTTTCTTAGCATCTTAACTATTCAAAGTTGGACCTAGTCTTCCATTAACAACTTCAGAGAGCACACAAAACTATATTCTTAATCCAGCAACAAATGTATACAATAATATTTTATAGAGTATTATGCTTTCCACTCTGATGCAGATAATCTTATAAAATCAAACAATTAGGCATACAAATGGTCAAAAATTGCCTTTCTTCAAATGTAATAAATAGAGTATTTTTAAAAATGCATTCTATAACTATTTTCTATGCAAATTTATTTATGTAAGGCATTTTCACTATATGTACCTTCTCACTAATCTGAACTCTAGCACATACATGCTCTAGTAATTTCGGACTTCTAGAAATAAATGTAGAGATAGTATATTGAATTCTTCCTCCTTTACTTCCTTGCAATTTCACATATGGTAATTAAATTTCTAATAGTTACTGATTGCACAACAGATATCATGGTAATCCATTAAGAGTATTTCCTATAAATTAACTGTCCATTTATTCCTGAGCTAAAAGGCACTTATGTTTAGATGTTTTGACAATCCAAACGAAAGCTTTAACTAGAACTTACACTACTAAGTTCTCTCCTGTCATTTTATCATCTCAGATTTCTATGATTTAAAATTCTTTTGATCACTATTACAGATCTTCACTCTACTCAGAGAAACCTTGAATAGTATAAGAATAGATTTTATGAGGGAGAGTATTCAGCTGACAACTTTTGTGTCTTAGTTTCCTCATTTATTTAGAAGGTAAGATTTATTAGCAATTTCTATAATTTCTAGGGCTAGCATTCTCTTTTAAAAATCTTATCTAAATGCCTTTTTTAACCTTTTAAAAATTCAGCTCTGTATTACACAAAGACTCTCAACCAAGCTTGATTTGAGTCCTTGTTATTATGAAATAGTCAGCATGTCACTAAACTAATCATCTCACTAAACTAATAAGAGTGAAGAGAATTTGTCTCAGGAAAAAGCAAATGTTTAGAAAAGAAAAGTGACGATACATTTTTCTTAGCTAGAAATCCAACCCACAAATTTGAAAGAGGAGATGTTTCCTTTGCTATATTTCACGGGTATTTTAACTTGAACAACCCTGTGTTTCTTCCATTTTAGTCACAAATTGAAGAAAAAATCAAAAACCTAAAAAAATAATTAAATTTTAAGCAATCATGTTATGTAAATACATTCCTCACTTTGCAAATGCATAACATAAAACTATACAAATACCTTTTAGAGAATAATTTTTATAAAGTAGCTCCTCAGTTAAGTACTAATTATGAAGCAAATCGTCACTTTATGATATTAAGAAACTTAATTTCAAAATGATTGGACAATTAGGTGAAAGAATTTGTAGTAAACTGACTACGTATGTGTCACCTAAACTGAGGCTATGTGTGTAGGCATGCAGGAAGGTGTTTCTCTTCTATAATATTTATTATAGCCCCGATCAATTTTGAATTTAAAAAACAGATGGAAAGACATAATATTCATAATCTTAGCAAATGCTGCCTTTGTTATCAGAAGCATATCTGAGTTTCTGATTTCTGATTAAGAAACCAAATGGACAAATTTGATCTCTTTGCAAGGTTGAATTAGCACATACTCTGGAAGCCAGCACCATTTCACCTGCTGATCCCGGGCACTCAAAACAACAATTCTACAGGGCTCACATTCAATTCCTGACAAGCTTTCAAAGTTCCAGGTTTAATCAACCTTTTGCAAGATGCAGTATTGGCCTAACCATCAAATGTTAAATGTAATTTTAATGAGTACAACATTATTCAATTATTTTCTTTTTTACTATTTGATTATAGTTAAGTTTCACTTAAACTCTTACTTAAAACCCTTACATAAACCCATCTATCTTAACATAATCAAAGTGTGGTCACTTTGAATTCTACATAAACCCCACCTCTTATGAATAGTAACTAATGGCCTAACTGCCAAAGAATATCAATAAATCACTGAGATACATCTTTTATTTTAACAATAAACATATATATGAAATATAAAATTGAAGTTAATATAAATAAATATTTATAAATATCACAATTAACAATGTTATTCTAAATCACAGCAAGGATTGATTTTTAATAAATATATTAAATATTTCAATATTATTGTTTGATTTTTCAAAGTAAAATAATATGACTAGGTTTAAAGTCATAAATTTTCTTTAATACATTCACTTCCAAGAATCTTTCTCTATGTTATTTTCCTTAGAGTCTAACTTTGTTATGAACCCAGATGTTTGGAAGGCTTTAATGTTTTAATTTCATATAAACATCTGATCTGCCTTAAATTATCTTTGTGGTTAACATCCAGACCTCCTCACTGTACCTCAGTGAAATCAATGTCATAGTATGATGGTGGGATATAATATCTTTATTTAGAAACTGGTATAAAATCTTACTTCTTACTTCAACCACAAATCTAAAGGCTACTCTTAGAACTGGACGCTGGGTTTATTTTTCCCTTGCATAGTGATTCAGACTTTGTAGCCAATGTTTTCTTTTTAAGTGTTAATATACGATTATTCCCTTTTTGAAGTTAATTAGGGGATAACAATGCCTACAAAAGTGGTTTTATGTTAATATGTGGCCTCCCAGGAGCAATAAGCACCAAACAGTTTGATAAAACACATACCAAGATCTTATAAATATCTAAACTATCACATAACTTTCAAGGCATTTCATCAACAAGAAACCCAACAAAATCTGATCCTTATACTTTGCTATTTCTATCATTACTTCGCTTTATAACAATACGGAAAGTTGTTTTCCCACCATTTATTTGATGTGGTACTGGGATGCTGTTTAAAAGTGTTTCAGGTATGTTGCTAGACAGAAAATAGAAAATGTATGCATTAAAAGTATAGAAATTTGATTTTTAAAAATATTCATAGAGCTTCACAGAAAGGCTCGATGTGGAAAATTAAATATAAATATCATCAGTAAAATAATCCCTGAATCCATGCAAAAGTGTCCCTCAGGGCTTGTATTTCATCCATCACAGAAGAAATTCTCAATTGCTATAATTTTAAAAAAACAGCTACCATTACAATATTCTCATTTACATGCATGTGTGATATGCTGAAAAATAAATGGCATATCCATTATTCCGTAATCTAGTGTCCAGTACCACTGTAGTTAAGAGGGACTTACAAGGCCTCAAATCCTATGGCAGATGCAGGAATTTTAAATAATAAACAAAACCAGCAGAGGGCAGAACTGCTGACAGAATTGACTAATCCAACAGGCTACTACCAGGTACCAAAAGTAAAATACAAACTTTTTGATGGATTTCACCTTCAAAGACTCTCTTACCTATCTTTGAAAATGTGGAAATGAATGAATCAACATAATTAATCAACATAATTCCTTTCAAAATTCAAATATAGTCCTAATGAGGCTTTCACTGTATTCACCAAGAAAAGTCACCAGGGGAATAATCTAGCGCTGCTTGCTACTTGTGAAGTTGAAAGCCACTGAGGAAGGAATGGCCTGGTCGCAGAGCTCGGCCTCCAGGAGCGCAGACTCCCATTAGAGCGAGCTCAGATCTGGGCATCTAGACCCAAGGCCAGACAGATTTCTGCTAAAGCCCATGCATTTGGGCTTGACCATTTTTATCTCCCTTGACCTACCCCCATCACCGTCCTTCCTATCCCCCAGCTTCTCTATGCACTCCTCACAAAGCTTGCTTTCTACTCTAAGCTGCCTGGGCTCCCTGCGCTCCAAAGGCATTCGCCTGCCAGCTGAGTCTAAGGCACCTAACGGACCGCTCCAGCCAGATGCCTTTTCGGGAAAGGGCGGGGGAAGGGGAGGGAGGAGGCGGAGGGGAGGAGTGAAGTCGCTCTCCCTCCGTGGGTACTGACAGGGCTGCAGACTTCTGAGCAGGTCTGGCCATTGAATATTTGGTGGTGCCACGTAGGAACTTTTCCTTACCTCTCTCCTCCCACCCGACCCTATACCCCCTCCCTTTCCCTCCCAATCCCTAGTCCTCCGCCCCCACCCCATTTGCCTGGCTACTTTCATCATTCTCCAAGAGAACTACATGTCCAACCTGCATGAAGAAGCGAAGGGTGGGGTGGGGGAAGAACTGAAATTCAGGGGAAAGTGTTCTCCCTATCTTGAACCCATTCCCAATAATAATCTGCCAATTTTTGTCCACTTAAAATAGCTTGGAAATTCTCCCCTCTGCACCCCCCACACACGGAGTGTTCCTAATCTTCTAGATTCATCCCCCTGGTTTCTCTTATATCCCAAAACCTAAAACAGCCTGCTTTTCACTTTGTTGCAGAAAAGGAACATTATCAAAGTTCATTTTATACCCTTTATATTTTCCCCTCAGCTCACCCTTAAAAAAAAAAAAAAAAAAAAAAAAGATATTCCCATTAGTTAGAATCTGAAGAAACCAGACGTATTCCAAGGGCGCTCTGAAGACTGTGCCTCAAACAAAAGCTTTGTATAACTGCCCTTGTGTTCAAGGTAATATTTTTCCTCTTTTCAATGAGGCTGGAAGTGGTGAAGGGCATTTTCAGCAGGCTCTCCGCCTGTCAGATCTTTTTTCCTGCTACCTACCTCCTCTCCCTTTATTGTCCCGCCTACATCCATCTCTTTCTCCAGTTTCCACTTCCAATCTGGTGGCAGCTACAATCTGGATTTTATTTAGGGGATTTTTTTTTTTTTTTTTTTTTTTTCCTTGAAGAGCGGGTAGGAAGGGTAAAGGGGGGGAGGGGCGCAGAAGGAGTAAGACCGACGGCAATCTCCCACCTCCCCAAATCCATTTTTTTTTTTTCTTACCTCCTCTGACCTCTCTAGCTTGGAAGAGGAAAGTCATTGCGAGGGTTGTTACGGTGAAATCCCAGAGCCACCGTTTCGTTTTCCACCTAGAGGACCACGGCTCCATTTCTGAGCCCCGCACTCACAACTGTGAACTCAACCCACGAAATTGCGATTGCAGACCAACTTCGTCCTTTCCAAGGTATCGCCGGGGATGTTTGCTACACAGCCATTGGGGAGGGAGAGTGGGGGAAAGTCAAAGGGCTTTTTCTTCTAAATTTGATGGTTTGCTTTCTTCGTGTCTCTAGCCCCTTCCTCTCCTTCTGAGTTGGCCCCGCCGGCCGGGACCCTCGGATCCTTCTTCTGCTGGGCCCTGCCTTCAGAATGAAGGCAGATGAGGGGCTTCCACCAACAAGCTGAGAGTACTGTGTGCCCCTAAAGGTTTCATGCCGTCAGTGGGCTGGACGAGCGGCTCCAGGCAGCCCCCTCCTCCGCCCACTCCCCTCCCTGCTCCGGGCTCCCCCACCCAGGGCGAAACTGACAAGCCGGCTGAGGGTCCGACCCAATCACACGCCTCAGGGGCGGCCCCGAACCCGCCCCCGTCTCCCTCAGCCCAAGAATGAGGACTCCGGGCAGGCCCAGCCCACCAGCCCACCCCCCATCTCCCCACTTCTCTCCTCCCTCCTCGCCAACCCAAATCCCCGAGAAGGAATGGGAGGGAGTTACGCGGGACGCGTGCTTGGCTCCAGCACTTTGGGAATGAAAGGAATTGCAGGAGAGCCCCGGAGCACACGGAGTTTTCAAGGAGCTTCTGTATTCAATAAAAACAGCTACTTGTCTACTTGCACCCGTCTGTTAGCCTCTCGCTGGTCGGCGGGAGAGGGGAGGAGTCCAGCGCCCGATCAGCCACACCGCTGGAGTCATGGGCTGGCAGCGGTAACTTTATCCTTGTGCAAAAATCTGCTTCCTATGGCAGACGTGGAACCAGTGGACTCATTGCGTTGCTGACTCCGAAAAGTGTTTTCTTTTTTTTTTTTTAAGCCGATAATTAGAAGAAAAGAACGAAGGTGGCATGGAGGGACCCTAGAGGTCAAAACATAGAGCTTGTAGGAAAGTCCTCTTTGGAGATCTGAAACGGACATGTTTCTCTCTTACATGTTTAAATTCAGCACTAGGTTCATTCAGGGGCTTGCCTCTTAAAAGAGTTGAACTGTACTCTGAGGGAGGAGGAGGAAGAAATGTATGGGAGCTGACATTAAGAGGGTGAGTAATTTAATTTTCCAGCTGATTCTGTTCTGATCCTGGATGAGGGGTTACTGAGGGGGGAGTAGAAAAGGCGAGGAAAGCAACTAGCAGAAATCTCCAAGAGGCTGGCCCACAGCTCCTCATTAAGGGCCTGGCCCTGCCCCTCAGCCTCAGGAGCTGAAAATATGGTCACTCCACAGGAAAGTAATGAAGAGGGCAGGTTTCTAAATTCCCTCTCTACTTAACTCATCCTCAAAGTAACCCTCTTACACCTGGAATATAGATTCCCAAGTCACTTTTTCAACGTTAAAATCATTCCATCCTATTGACTCCTTTTTGTTCCCTAATAATTCCTAAGATGTTTCTCTCAAAGATTTTCTGAAACAGTGCCCATCAGGGTGCCAGCATACATTAGCCACTCAATAGAGATGGGTTGGATGAATGAACACATTTTTCTGTTGACAAAGACTAGAAGCACTGGCAAGGGCCTACTTTGAGTATTTAAGTCATTTAAATGCTTAAAGGCCCTCAACTAAGTTTACTAGGTAGTATGTTCAATTCTATAGCTGCCAGGAATCTTTAGGAACTCAGTTTTCCATTAGTCATCAAAATATGCCTCGTGATCCATCAGATTATATTAAATCTCTTCATGCAGTTTAAAACTGGAAGAAAGGTGATCAAAGAGTAGATTGAGCCCTCATATGGGTTTAACAACATGAATAGAAACATAAAATGAAGAAGGAAACCAGAAAATACCTTCAGTATAAATATTACTCTCTGAAACAAAGAACTACTCCCTTATCAAGAAGTTGTCTCTTAAGATCACAAGTAAAAAAAATACTTTATATTTGTAATGCTGTTGGCAGAATCTTTGGGATGCCTCATATCAGCTGCAGAGAAATATCATCAACTAGTTCTTCAGATTACCTCAAGCTGTTTGTTAATAAAATAATATATTGTATTTGAACCTACAAATTAAGATCCTTATGGTAGAAATATGTGTATTTGCCATCTTCATTATCCTTCATCATCTCACAAATGGAGAATTCGTATATATTTGCTGTTTCCAAAGTTCTGTACCAACTGATTTTTCTGTCCAAACTTTGGATATTTTAAAAATTATTTTGTAAGTCTTCTCTCAAATGTAAAATAGTGAAATGAATGCAAGTTTAGAAATACATATTTGTGAAGCTGCCAGAATTCTAAATCAATTCAATAGCCAGAGGGTTACTGTGCTTGTAGCAACACGTACAACTGGTGTTCCAAATTGTCTCTTAATGGCTCTCAAATGTATTGAGAATTCTGTGGCCTGATACTGTTCTAGAAGGTGAGAAATGATGAGTCAATCTAGCAGTCCCTACTTTCTGGTCACATCTCAAACCTACTCACTGCTGTGAAAGGGTCCTTTCAGGCAAAGCATCTCGGGTGAATAGAGTTATTACTACCTTACGCTGTCTGTACTTTGTGGTCTGAATTCCTCTGGCCACTGTTCAGCTAGGCATAACCTGGGTCTGAATGAATGCCTCTAGAAGGAAACATACCAAATTCATGGTGAGGAATAATTATATCTAAGCCCTCCAGCCTTTAGCTAGATGCCAGATCTACAGGCTCCCCAGGAACCAGCCCATGAATTTACAGGAGATTAACTCAATGAGAGAAAGGCTAATAGCAACAATGGGAGCAGAGGAAAGCCAGAAGAGATGCACCTTAGCTACCTACAACTTCACACTGGAGAACTTCCAATGCCATCATTTCTCAGGCCATCTTTCAACCAGTCCTGGCTAATTGTACATAGATTCAAAATATAATAAAACATGGCAGTTTTCCGGAGGTAAGTCTTTAGTTTGAAGCAGAGTTAGTGGTATTTTCCTATTTTGTCACATTTAAAAATAATGTTTAAAGTTATTTATTCAGCTTTGTAGAATTGTGATTGGCAAGCTTTTCAAAAACAGAATTTTTAAAGTAGAAAAAAAATTAGTCACTTTTTTGGTAGCAGCATTTTAAATTAACCATTCATCCATATTGGCTTGTCAGAGAAACCAAGATAATAATTTGAAAATGGATTGGGAGGTCAAATTAGGGAAAGTTCTAAACAATCTTCAGAGTCCATGGAGCTTTATGAAACATTGCAAAAAGCTCATAAACCAGCTTTAACGTCTGCACAAATCTCTAGGAATCAGTGGACCTGGACTCAGAGCCAACGTCTGAAATATTAAGACCTCTACAACCAAAGGGAGACCGATGACACCTTGACAATAGCTGGATGCCCCTAATATAAATAGTATTAGAATATTGCCAGAACTCTGTAATAATCCTTAACTTACTACAGCTGGAATCAGGGGAAAGAAGAAGTATATTAGGTAACATGATTTTATAAACAATGCGTCATCTTTTAACTCACTTTAAATCCCCCTTTTCTCATACTGATGTTTCATCCCCCTATTTTTGAGATAGACAGACAGATGGATAGACAGAGAGAGAGAGAGAGAGAGAGACATTAGACAGATACATACATAGATAGATAAATATAAATTGGATATTTTCACTGGGCGCGGTGGCTCACACCTGTAATCCCAGCACTTTGGGAGGCCGAGGCGGGTGGATCATGAGGTCAAGAGATCAAGATCATCTTGGTCAACATGGTGAAACCCTGTCTCTACTAAAAATACAAAAAATTAGCTGGGCACGGTGGCGTGTGCCTGTAATCCCAGCTACTCAGGAGGCTGAGGCAGGAGAATTGCCTGAACCCAGGAGGCGGAGGTTGTGGTGAGCCAAGATTGTGCCATTGCACTCCAGCCTGGGTAACCAGAGCAAAACTCCATCTTAAAAAAAAAAAAAATTAGATATTTTCTCCAAACATTTTACTGTAATTAAAATTACATCATAGAATGTGATTTCTTGAATGAGAAATTATGGGGAGAGCTCTTGCGCACACCAGATATACTTAAAATGTTTAAAACAAAATTGCTTTTGAAAGTAATCCTCTCTTGCTGTGCCTAAAGGTTTGCCTTTCTTGCCCTTTTCTGAACTTTAGGTCAATTATTTTGAGAAGGAAATGACTGAGCAGTCTGACATTCATTTTATAGTTTTTTAATACATGAGTGGCTAGAAATTACTCTCTGTTTAAAAGTAGAGCTAGTTCCTCTGACCTCACAGATGGGCCATTGTACTGTAGAGTGGTTGGGGAAGAGGGACAGAGAAATTTATTTCCATAGTCTAGTCTAGCTCACAAAAACCTTACAGTGATGGTTGGGTGATTTTTGGCAACCTTACTCTGAAATAACTTACAGAACATTAGAGAAATCCAAGTTTAGCCCAATTTCCATTATACAACAAAATCTTCAGATGAAGAAGATTTTTACTTTGTTCTGTTGGAGTGTTGAAAGAGCCAACTAAGAGATAACAGATGTGCCTGTTTAAAAGGACCCACAATAAAATTGAATCTAAATGGAAACAAAACAAGGAATATGGCCTTGTATGTTCATGTTATTTCTGTTAAAAATACCTTTTAGTTAGCTATATTCACAGGAAGCTATCAGTCCTTTTTTGTAATTGTCCAAAGATAGAAGGGAGAAAGAATGGAATAATCCAAGGTAAAAACTTATATATATTTTGGACTTTTGCCAACATACCTTTACTCTCTGCATGTCTTTTATTCTCAATTGAGTGGGTTTGGCATTTACTAAGCTCTTGGGGCATCCTGAGAATGTGTGTTGGCAAAAATGTAACATGACTTACCAAACTGTATAGGGCAGCAGAAACACCTCTATTAGTAGAGGTAGAGGAAAGAATTTTACACTTTTCAGTAAACGATTTGCCATAACTAAAGGAAGTACCACACCACTACTAATCTATAACTAAGGTATTTTACTTTCTACAGTGTCCCAACTATTACTTGAGAACTATTGACTTGATTCACATTGGTTACTCCTAACAAAATAAGTTTGCTGAAGGCAGAAGATTTAGCATCTTTAAAGGGATAATTTAAAAATTTACTCATAACAATTTCGCAATTTTTAAAAATTTTTCATAGTTAAATGAGAATGTACAACTAATTTTCCTTTGACATTATTTTATAAATAATCAAAGGCAACAAGATAACAAATACATCACTACACTTTCTAAAATAAGTAGGATCCTTCTTCTCACCTCTATGGTTTCTTCACAGATTGACCCACCCTGATAGCATTTGACAGTATTCTTGATTTAAAATGAATATTATTTCCAGACAATCAGATGTAATTGTTTTATGCCTCCACCATTTGTACCAAATCATTTAAGTCAGAAACCAAATATGTGTGTGTTAAAAATCTGAAGACCAACACCAGATAATTTTCTGAATCATATGCAATATTTCTGTTATTTTTATATGACAGCCTTATACATTCCACAACAAACGCCAAATACAAGATTTAAGGCTGGTGAATATGTTTAAATATTGAAATAGATCTGATTTTTAAAACATCTGTATTAAATAACTTCAACTTAATTTGTTTTGCAGATTTTCAGTGTTTAATAACCCTCCCAATATTCTACTTTCTGCCAGTAGCAGTATGGTGAAATTATTGCACATTCAAATGCTGGACAAACAATAGATATTATTTCAAAAGTTTTTACAGTCTAATTTGCCAAGACTATAAAATTACATATGGATATAAATTGTTGGGTTGCAAAACAAACAACATTTATTATAAGAGTATTTTGTTAAAAACAATATGTATAGGAGAATTATTTTTATTTAAAATAATGGTTTTTTGTTCTTCATAACATCTTCATGAGGTTGGAATGTAGCAAATTGAATAGTTTCATGTTAAGATTGAGGTCTGAGACACTTAAAGTTCAAACTAAGAATACAGAAACAGATGGTGTATGTGAAAAACATTTCTATTTATACACATCTGCTCTCATTATTAATTATATTCTTATAAATTATTCATTTTTGAATTTAATTTATATTTTTATAGGTTAACTATTAAAATGAATGAAATCTCTTTAAAAATATCTTAAATAAATCTTAAAATAAAAAAGATAATGCCATTGACTGTTCCTAAAGCCTTAAAAATGTCTATGAATATAATTAACGAGTTATACCTGTGGATGCATTTTTATGAAAAAAATAAATAATAATGAGCAATTTTTATCCTCAGGTTTCCCTCTCTCCTGGGATTTTAAGATCATTTTATAACTTCATATGCTTCTGAAAAGAGAAAATACTGCTGAAATTAACCTAAAGTTATGTTTTATTTTCCAGAGAAAAAGAAAAAAAGAAATTCAATGTGTTAAAGAGATGAAATAAAATCATAATTATATTAATATTTTGTAAATACATGAACATCTTGAAAGCTGTAGGTACTATGCAAGGACTTCTATGCAAAGCATAAAATCTCTGAAGTTGAAGACATATCAAGTATTACATAACCTTTTTTGTATACTATAAATTCTTCGAGAGCAGAAATCCTCATCCAATAATATATTTTCGATGTCTTGATTTCTGCTTCTTATTGTGCTCCATATGAATTTGGCAACATTTATCTTAGTTGCTTACTTTAATTTTGATTTAGATTTAAAACACAAAGGATCAAATTTAAATGATTTTGTCAATCATTTTAAAGCATTAGATCTTCAGATATGAATTACTGTGTACCTAAGACCCAAGCTGAGATTGAAACTCCAGGATGTTACTGGCCATACAATGGGGCTTCTACCAATTTAGAAGCAAAACTAAACATCAACACCACCTGTGAAACTATCAAGACAAAGTTTGACATATTTCATGTGGTGGAGTTCATTGCAGTATTGACTAAGTCACGGTTGAAAACTTCAGGATCAATTCTGTTGATAGGACTTATTAAATTTATATCTCCTCATTATAGATCTCCTCCTCAGTACCACCATCTCATGACTAAGGATTCTGCAAAGTTTGTGTGTAATCGCACATGAGCTCTGATATTGACAACCAAAAAGCATTGCTTCCTGTGTTCTCCATTGTCTCCTCTTATTATTTCTATACAGTAATTCTGCAATAGGCCATTTGGATAAATTTTGATAAGTAGGTAAGAATAGAAAGAAAAAAATACCAAGAAATTCATATTAAAATTTCAAATTTTGGAGTTACAAATAATAACTCAAAGGTGTACCATATTTATTTACTTACTTATTTGTTTATTTATTTTTTGAGATGGAGTCTCGTTCTTGTTGCCCAAGCTGGATTGCAATGGCAAGATCTTGGCTCACTGCAACCTCCCCCTCTCAGGTTCAAGTGATTCTCCTGTCTCATCCTCCTGAGTAGCTAGGATTACAGGCATGTGCCACGTCATCTGGCTAGTTTTGTATTTTTAGTAGAGACAAGTTTACTCCATGTTGGTCAGGCTGGTCTCAAACTCCTGCCTGGCTTGGCCTCCAACGTGCTGGGATAACAGGAGTGAGCCACCATGCCTGGGCAGTTGTACCATATTTATGTTGTAGTAACAGTAAAAATAAATGAGTTAGCCTAAAAAGTCATATATATGCATGGATAGTGATTTCATAAACATTTGAATAGGACATTGTCCTAAATTCTAGAACCTTAATTATATTCTAGTACAGGAGAAAATAAATTAATAAATCAATTACCTATGAGAGGTATTAGTAAGTGAATTAATTACATAGGAAAATCACTTTCTGTGAGAAATCATTGCAAGTTGTGATTTCCTATGGAAGACGAATTTTTAAATAAAATATAATTCTTTAGTATTGTCTTTAACAGATCTTTGAGATTATAAATTAACTAAAATGTAATCATGTGATGACTGGAACTATTTTAAACACGCACACAGAAACTAGATAGCATAAATAACTACATAGCATAACTAAATACCTTACTGAAATGTAAACGTGATCCAAAAATTTGATGATGTATATTATAGTGTTTGGAACCAATATATAGTGCTTTTTTATTGTTTTTAAATAATGTTTTATTTAGTCTCTAACCACAAATCAGAAATGATACTTGTTATTTTTAAAAACCTGGTTCGGTCTTTACTCCAACCTAGTTTTTAGCAATATCTCTGAGGAATGTTCATAATGAATGCCTTTGCAACTTTCTTTTTCTTTCCTTTTTTTTTTTTTTTTTTTTTTTTTATATGGAGTCTTGCTCTGTAGCCCAGGCTGGAGTGCAATGGCATGGTCTACAACCTCTGCCTCCTGGGCTCAAGGGATTCTCCTGCCTCAGCCTCTTGAGTAGCTGGAATTACAGTTACCCATCACCACACCCAGCTAATTTTTTTGTATTTTTAGTAGAGATGGGATTTCACCATGTTGGCCAGGATTGTCTTGAACTCCTAACCTCATGATCCACCCACCTCGACCTCCCAAAGTGCTGGGATTACAAGTGTGAGCCACCACATGAGCCACTACACCTGGCCTGCCTTTGCAATTTTCTATTCTCATAGTTTATGAATGTTTTTTATTCTAATTTATCTCAGATCTATTACCAATACATATTTTGGAATCTTGTTGCCAGACAACATTATTCTTCAAAATCTTGGAGGTTAAAACAGGGATAAAAACATGAATGTTTTTTCAAGGAAAGTAATCAACAAGGGAAAACATTGCACCTCTTAAGGGAAAATGCCAGGAGATTGGTAGAAGAAAGAGATAAGCAGAGGGTACATGGAAACAGGAAATACAACACTCTTCATCTTTATAAGTGACAAATATTGAAGGAAGGATGAGCTGCTCTATGATTCATTTTCTTAAGTATATCTATCTTCTTGCTTCAAGTAGAACCATTAAGTTGCTGAGAAGTTTGGCCACTACAGAACTTAGGGTCTTCCTGCTGGAAGGAGGTAACCTTGACTAAAAGTATTTGAAGATGTACCATAAAATACAAAAGCTGAGTAGCGGACTCCATAAACAGCCAATGAATTACTATATCACCCATCACATAGGAATTACAGGTGAGAAACTCCCAGCATCTGTGTGTGTGTGTGTGTGTGTGTGTGTGTGTGTGTGTGTGTAATCAATAAAATTCAGTGTCATTTATCTAAGAAGTATGACAACTCAGCACATATCTTCTGGGTTTATAACATTTAAAAAATTTTCTCATAATTCTGTGGGTTTGTTAGGCTCAGCTAAGTTTTCGGGCTGTTAGCCAGGATCACTCAAGCACTCAAGCAATTGCAGTGAACTGGGGGAAGATTGGCCAGTGCTGAAACATAAAAGACAGGTACATTCACATGTCCAGTGCCTCAGCTGAGGTGGTTGGAAATGCTAAACTGTAATTGGACCCATTTCTCTAGTAGGCTAGTAAGGCTTGCTGAATATTAGTTCGGGGCTGCAAGAGATTATAATCAGAAGCAGGAGACCTCTTAAATGCTATGCTCAGAAACAGCATAATCTCACTTCTGCAGCATTTCATAGGTCAAAACCAACAATAATGCAAACCCAGATTTAGTAGAAGGAAAAGATTAATATACAATTACAGGCATGATAAGAATTTTACAGCAGTCTTTTTTGGATATAATTTTGTACAGTCTGTGCAAAGTATACTCACCTCTCCGTAATTCTCCCAAACCTCATTCAATTATGTCATCAGTCTCAAAGTACAGTGTCTCATGATTGAATAAGATCCAGATGTAGAAGAGATGTGGAGGTACATTTCCTCTTAATTTGGAAATCTGTAAACTAAAATGACATTATCTGTCATCCACAGTTGACAATCTCATTCAAAAGGGTAGGAAATGCAAGGCACAGAAATCACAGTCTATATGAGTTATGAAATTCAGCCAGATACTTTTTGCCAATTCTCTGTGGAAGCTGGAGATATTTTTTTGTTACAAATTATGCTGTCTTAGGGTTATTTGATAATTTGTTATTTTTTACCATTCCTAGTTTAAAACCTCCAAGTTCTGTTTATGCCCTGTGAGACATATTTCTTCTTCCATAAGAAAAGGTCTGTGTTTACAGCTCAGTAGCTTTCAGATCTTGCCTCCTATTCATAAAAAGGCCTTACCTTTTAATCAACTGATGGCACATTTGTTAAAAAAAAAAATGTTCTTAAAACCTTTGTGGATTTCCTATGAATCTTATTGGCATTCATTTGATTTACTCAAAGCCATATCTATAATTATTTAAGGCAAAATTTTATCTAATTTTGGCAATTCTACTTCCTGAAACAATGCCCTTAGGAAACTTTTTGTTTAGCTGAGGGGTTATATAAAATATATCCTAAATGTTTATGAGATTTTCAGAAAGGTTTTTCAGGTATAGCCTTGATTTTTTCTTGACTCACTCTGAGGGCCATGCAATTGGCTGAATTATTGATTTGATATTTTCCTTGAGGTCCTCTCTTACCTTGAAAATCTTTTTGATGAAGCTATCTGTTTCCTGGGCCATCGATATTTACTCTGAAGTCTGTTTGAAATAAAATAGTTCTTTAGTTAGTTTATGTCTCTCTGAAAATACATTATTAAACAGAAAAGAATAGAATCAAATGCCAGTATCAACATTCTGATGAAAATATCATCAAGCAATTTTGACATTGCAAAATGCATATTTGTTCTTCATCTCTATTTCTTGGCACTCACCTTCTAAAACCCTTGAAATCTCTTAAATAATAAGTTCCTTTTTATGTTCTAATGAGATAACTGGTTGTGGGGACTAGAGTTCTTGATAGCTTCAGGATGGGGGCTAGTCAGCCAGGGAAACCAACCATGTAATTAGAGGGTTGGAACTTTTGCTCCCATTCCACAACCTCTGGAGAGAAAAGAAGGGCTGAAGGTTGAGTTGACTGCCAGTGGACAATAAAATAGTCAATTATGTCTTTTTCATTAGGCATTTTTAATTTAGCCTCCATAATAATTCAAAAGGACAGTGTTTGGGGAGCAGTGGAGTTTTCAGATAACTTCAGTTAACTGGGGTGCTTGGAGAGTGGCACCCAGATGGGAAATGGAAGCTCCATGCCTCTTGATGCATACCTTGCTTTGGGCATTTCTTTCATCTGGCTGTTTATCTGTATGCTTTGTAATATCCTTTATAATAAGTGGTTAAAGTAACGTGTTTTCCTGAGTTCTGTTGAGCTACTCTAGCAAATTAATTAAAACTGAGGAAGGGGCCATAAGAACCCCAATTTTTAGTCATTTAATCAGAATCACAGGTCACAATTTTAAGCTTGTAATCAGCATCTACAGGCTAGGGGTAGTCTTATGGGACTCAGCCCTCAAGACCGGCCTCTTGGTTCATAGTTCAATAATAATAACAGTAATTGCATCTTATCATGTCTACCTCATTCAAGAAGGTTAAACTCATCACTGACAGTGTCCAATAATAGCCAAATATAAGACTAAAAATCAACTAAAACTTAAATTTTTTTGCTTTCCTATTAATTTTCAATTTCATTTCTCTCAACACCATGGCAGTCTTCCACCTGAAGCAAAAGCAATTTTAATAATTCTGGTTACATTTCAAACTTTCAATCTACTCAACTGCTCTGGAAGCTCTTTCAAACCAATTTACTATTCTTTTTCTCAATACTACCCAAGTTATTTGTTTTTTAAAAAAAGACTGAAGTATAGCCAATATTTGTGAAATGATGCAAAAGATAATTAAAGAGCCCATGTAGAGAAATAAATATTTATAAGAAATACTAGAATTGTGAGTGAAACGCAGTGGCTGGTGTCTATAAAGCCAGCACTATTGATGGCTGAGGTAGGGGATCACTTGAGGCCAGGAGTTTGAGACCAGCCTGGCCAACATGGTGGCACACAGGAGGCAGAGGCTGCAGTGAGCTGAGATTGCACCACTGCACTCCAGCCTGGACAACAGAGCAAAAATCAGTCTCAAAAAAAAAAAAGTCATGAAATTATTAATCCTTCACATATAATTAAACTATGAAGACAATAAAACACAAAGAACATTTGACACGATTGGCAAATTTAGCACAAACAGATATTGTACTTTCTAACATGATTTTTGTTTTATTTCGTTTTTGAGACACATTTTCTCTCTTGTTGCCCAGGATGGAGTTCAGCGGCATGATCTCGGCTGACTGCAACCTCCGCCTCCCAGGTCCAAGTGAATCTTATGCCTCAGCCCCCCAAGAAGCTGGTATTACAACCATGCACCATGACATGAGGCTAATTTTTGTATTTTTAGTTTAGATAGGGTTCTACCATGTTTGCTGGTTTCTTAAATAGTTAAATATAGAATTCACATAGGAGCCAGTAATTTCACCCTCAAGTACATACACAAAAGAATTGAAGAGATACTAAAAAAATACATGTATACATATGTTCACAGCAGCAACATTCACAAGAGCCAAAAAATGAAAATAATCCAAACCTCTATCAGCAGAGGAATGGATAAACAAATTATGATACATACATAAAACAGAACATTACTCAAGCATAAAATGGAATGAAATCCCAATATATTACAGTATGAATGAAACTTCACTATATTACACTAAGTTGAAAGAAGCCAGATACAAAAGGTTGCATGTTATATGATTCATTTACATGAAATCTCTAGAATAGTTAGGTCCATGGAGACAGAAAGCAAATGTTTTGCCAAGGGCTGGAGAGAGAGAGAGGGGAATAAGAAGTAACTGCTTAATGAGTATGGGATGTTCTTTTGGGGCAATAAAAATATTTTGGAGGTAGATAGATGTGGTGGTTTTACAACATTGTGATTGTACCAAATACCACTGAATTTTTCACTTTAAAATAATTGATTTCATGTTATATGAATCTTACTTCAATTTTTAAAAAGCCTCTTACTATTGGGTACACATCTTTTTCTCACTTTGTAAAATTGGCTCCAATTTTTCTAGGAACACAATATGGCACAAAGACTAACGTACTTATTTAACAGAAAGTACTTAAAAAACAACAGAAATATTGCCAGAGATTTGGAGAAAAAAGAAATTAAGACAAATTGCATTGTACCAGAGGTTTTCTGTTGAAAGAAAGAACAGATGTTTCTAACATGTCTCAGGTTATGATTTTGGTAGATGAACTGCCTCAATAATAAAACAACAAAGATGAACTTTGTTGGTGTGGTCAATAAAAGCAAGATGTACTGGAAACAATTTAAAACAGTGTTTAATAAAAATGATGATTATTGGCAAAACAGTCAAACTGTTTTAGTGTGCCTGTTATGAAGTCAATAAAGAAAAAGAAAGATTCTCAGGTTACATTGAGAAATATTATATGAAATATTCATTCACCAAATTATTCACAAAGAAACCATTGCAGTTAAATAGTAGTAGATAAAAGGTACAAGGATGTCATTAATGAGAATAACGCTACTTTTAAAATATATTTAAATATAGTAAACTATAATAAACCATCTCTTTCTCTCGTTTGCTTGCAATGTATGCAAAACAATCATTTTTGGTCTTCCGAATATGGAGGGATAATAAAACAATAGGCCACCTGTTTTTATAAAGTTTTATTTGAACATACAGAAAATACACTTGATATGATAGTTCATAAAATAGGAAGTAGCAAAGTATTTAAGAGAGTGATGAGTGTGATGAAAATTATACTTTTCTGTTATCACTCACCAATCATCTCAAACTTAGTAAACTTTTTTGATGATAAGTAGTTGTCAGTACTCTTTAACCTAATACATTTTAAATCAATTTTAACATATTGGAATATCCCTTCAAGGTTAAAAGGACATTTAAAAATAACTAAGAAAGCGATAGCTTTTTAATAGAGAGTTATACTATGAGGAGAGCATTTTGAGAACAGACTTTAGAAAATGTTTCTGCTGTTATGAAATGTTAATTGCCCAAACTACATGTAACTTATGGTATTCTCATATTGGCTTTTCCCAAAAAATGGAAAGTGATTTTTTACCTATCTAAATCTTTCAAATAAATATTTTTAGTGGATTGGAAGTCATTTAAAAAATATATAGACTCAAAACTTTCTAAAATTTGTAAGATTATTTCCACTTTTAAGCAAAATGATTAGGTAATGAAAGACTGAGGAGTGGCGATCATGATTGATTATGGAGACTAGACCTTGTCCACTTACAACCATTGAAATCAAGGTAAACTAAATGTGGAACTGTATCTTTGATGTTTTATATATCAACGTGTAAAGTCAAGATTTTCAAAAATAATAAATGAATTTCTATCACATATTTCTCACTGACAATATTGTCCATTCTTTTTATATTTTAGAGACCAAATGTCAATGTAATAGGAAAGAAATTTACCATTAAAAACAATAATAAGATTTAGTTTTGTCACTTAGTCTATGTTTATCGATTTTCCCAGATTTATTTTTATATGTATTTTAATATATTTAATATAGGATACATTAATATATAGCATTAAGATTTATGTGTTTATATTTATATGTATGTGTATACATACACACATTACTAGATTTTTTTTGTTTTTTTTTGCTACTATGACTCAGTAAATGTCAATTCCAAGTTGGTACCTTAGTTTAAAAGGGTATTCCATCACTCTCTTAGGCCAGCAACTTTTAGTGATGCAATACTTGGTGTAACTGGTAGATTCCACTGCCATGTGTTTGTTGCTAAACCTCCTTTGTTGCTCTAAATTGGATTTCTGTGTCTGGTGTAATGTTATGCATACTGTGTTGGGAAATGGAATACTCTGTAATCTAGCTGAGTCCTTGCAGGCAGGAAAGAAGAACTTATACCTATGGATGTGACTTTATACAGTCAAGATGGATTGCTGCCACTCTGAGTGGAAGGGGCATGATGTTATCAACTTACCCCCAAGCGGCTGGTTGGTTTCCTTGAAAGATAATTTTATACTAGAGACTCAGTGTTGGTCATGCTTTTGATTGACTACTATCAGTGGAAGTAATTTATCTGTGTTTTTTAGTAGGAGCCCACTGTTGGGCCCATGCATAGCCTCAATTTCTGTCATCGTGGTACTTCTATTATTATGCTCATTGTGCCAGCATTGGGGTAGCCAATTACAGATGCTGGCTTTTGTCAACAGGCCAAGTCATTTTGTCTAATTAGGTTAGTATCTCTCTCATTGTGAATGCTCTCTTAAACATATTAACATGCAACACAAAGATCTTTAGACTGTGTTCCTACACAAATGGCTCCAGATTCTTCAACTAGAGCTTTCTATGTAACTCACACACTTTTTGCCACTACTGATATTCTAATACCATAAGGACTGCTGTTACTATAACTCAAATATCAGAGCAGCTTACTCCACAGCCTAGATGTACTGAAAACCCCTATCCTTCTCTGAGCCCTATCAAAAGCTAGCAGCCTTTTATATCACCCAGTGAATAGACCAGGTCAGCATTCATAAGTGTGGGATACACCGACTTTAAAATTTGAAGAGGCCTACCAAGTGTCATATTTTCTTCTTAGTAGTGGAAGTTGTGAGATGCAATGGTTTTTCTTTTACTTTGGAGGAAATGTCCAGGCATCAAACTGGCACTGGACCCCTAAAATCTTTACTGATATTGCCAGACCTGAATCTTTGCATTTTTATCCTCGACCCTCTGTAGCACATATGACTTGTCAAGATCTTCAACATAGTTTACACTACGGTTGTTCAGTTTAATATGGTGTTATCAATATAGGAGACAAGTGCAATATTCTGTAGAATACTCAAATTTTACATATTGTCCATAGCATGACAGAAGGCAGGAGAGTTCATAAAGTCCTAGGGCTAGACTGTAAATATATATTACTTTCTGTCCCAAATGAATTTGAAATGTTCCTGATCTTCTTGTTGATAGGGATGGACAAAAATGAATTCACAAGATTAATTACTGCATACCATGTATCTGCGGTTCAGGCTAATCTACTGTAACAAAAGTGCCTACCTGAAGCAGCAGTTGCACTCTGCGTTTGTATCTTTCTCCAAGATCTAACTGCATGCTTTGTCACATCTACAACAACCTCATCCCCACCACCAACATTGCTTTTGTTTTATAATCTTGACTGTGATGGTGTTAGTTTCCTCGTCTTGCACTTGGCTTTTCCTACTTTAATAGCTCTTGTACTGCAGAATAAGGAACCTACATGGAGGTTGTGCCAAGGATAAAGTATATCCATTGCAATTACGTGTTGAAGTATGAAGTAACTGCCTACCAGAGTGTTTTGAGGGGAATTCAGACCTGGGCCACGTATCCATATATCATCTAGCTCCCATATACTCCCACTCTTAAAGGGGGACAGGAGGAATCTGTGATTTTGGTTTCCAAGGTATAAATATTTTAAATATTTTTGATATTTTATTTTTCTCTATATGGTGTTGCACGGTTCTCCTCCCAGGGACATGGTCTATTCTTCAATTAATGAGATTTTAAGTCTGTGTATTGGTTTTATTCTCTAAACCAACCAAGGAATTACTGAGAGGGCTGTTGTTAGTCTCTAGGTCATCATTCATCCATCCTTGATTTTTGTTGTTGTTATAGATTAGGTAATAAACTTGTTGGATACTCTTTTGTCTTGACTCTAGCGAAGCTATATTTTGTTAATTCTCTCCATAACTTTTTACAGGCCAGAACTTTACCTGCAACCAGAAGCTCCAACTGTGCCACTTGTCACAAAATTGTGCTCACCTTGCTTTTCATAGTTAGATACAACTACTTCCCCTCTATCATCTTGACGTTTTACCACCCTGACTGGTATGAAAGAGCTCAGCTCAGAAGCTATCTGTAATAGCATCTTTTACTATTAGTTCTGGCCTATAGAAAACTGTCATCATTCACATTTCATGATGAAGAGACCAAAAGCAATTGCCACAATAGCAAACATTGGTAAATGGGATCTAATGAAACTAAAGAGCTTTGGCACAGTAAAATAAGCTATTAACAGAGTAAACAGAAAACCCACAGAATGGAAGAAAGTTTTTGCAAACTATGCATCTGACAGAGGCCTAATACATAGCATTTATAAAAGACTTAAGACAAATTTACAATGGAAATCCCAAACAACCCCATTTAAAAGGGGGCAAAGGACATGAACAGACACTCTAAAAAGAAGACAGACATACAGCCAAAAATCATGAAAAAAACTTAAAATCTTAACTTATTAGAGAAATACAAATAAAAATTACAGTGACATACCATGTCACAACAGTCAAATGACTATTATTAAATAGTTGGCTGGGCACAGTGGCTTACACCTATAATCCCAACCTTTTGGGAGGCTGAGGTGCATGGATCACAAGGTGAAGAGATCTAGACCATCCTGGCCAACATAGCGACACCACATCTTTACTAAAAATATAAAAAATTAGCTGGTTGTGGTGGTGTGCACCTGTAGTCCCAGCTGCTGGGGAGGCTGAGGCAGGAGAATCACTTGAACCCAGGAGGTGGAGGTGCAGTGAGCCAAGATTGTTTCACTGCACTCCAGCCTGGCAACAGAGCGAGACTCAGTCTCAATAAATAAATAAGTAATAGATGCTGGCAAGGTTGTGGAGAAAAAAGGAATGCTTATACACTGATGGTGAGAAGGTAAATTTGTTCAACTGTGTGGAAGACAGTATGGCAATTCCTCAAAGACCAAAAGACAGAAATAACATTTGAGTCAGTAAACTCATTACTAGGTGTAAACCTCCAAATAATATAAACCATTCTATTATAAAGACACGTGCACACATATATTCATTGCAGCACTATTCACAGTAGCAGAGACATGGAATAAACCTAAATGCCCATCAATGATAGATTAAATAAATTATGGCACATATACACCATGGAATACTATGCATCCATAAAAAAGAATGAGATTATGTCCTTTGCAGGGAGTTGAACATGGATGAAGCTAGAGACCATTATTTTTAGCAAACTAACACAGGAACAGAAAACTGAATACTACATGTTCTAACTTATAAGTGGGAGCTAAATGATGAGAACACATGGACACATATAGGGACACAAAAATTCAAGAAAATGGTGTTGGGATGGGTCCTGGAAATATGAAGAACATATATTTTTCACATTAAAAAACTATGCTTTATACTGGGGCCTATTGAAGGGTGGAGGGTGGAAGGAGAAAAGGGATCAGGAAAAATAATTAATGGGTACTAGACTTAATACCTGGTTGATGAAATAATGCATACAACAAACCCCCATAACACAAGTTTACCTATGTAACAAATCTGCACATGTATCCTCAACGTAAAAGTGAAAAAAATAAATAAAAATATTTTTTTATTTCCCTGTTGTTAGTGTATAGGAATGCTTGTGTAAGAATTTCCTTGTATAGGAATTTCTGCATACTAATTTTTTATCCCGACTCCCACTTACAATTGCTACAAAGAGAATAAAATACCTAGAAATACAACTAACAAAGGATATAAAAGATCTCTTCAAGAACTACAAACCACTGATCAAGGAAATAAGAGAGTATACAAACAGATGGAAAACATTCCATGCTCATGGTTAGGAAGAATCAATATTGTGAAAATGGCCATACTGCCAAACGTAATTTGTAGATTTAATGCTATCCCCATCAAGCTACCATTGACCTTCTTCACAGAACTGAAAAAAAAACTACTTTAACCTTCTTATGAAACCAAAAGAGAGCCTGCATAGACAAGACAATCCTAAGCAAAAAGAACAAAGCTGGAGGCATCACACTACCTAACTTCAAACTATACTACAAGGCTACAGTAATCAAAACAACATGGTAATGGTACCAAAACAGAGATATAGACCAATAGAATAGAACAGAGGCCTTAAAAACAACACCACAGATTTACAACCATCTGATCTTTGACAAACCTGACAAAAACAAGCAATGGGGAAAGGATTCCCTGTTTAATAAATGATGTTGGGAAAACTGGCTAGCCATGTGCAGAAAACAGAAACTGGACCCCCTTCCTGACACATTACACTAAAATTAACTCCAGATGGATTAAAGATTTAAACATAAGACCTAACACCATGAAAACCCTAGAGGAAAACCTAGGCAGCACCTTTCAGTACGTAGACACAGGCCAGGACTTCATAACTAAAACACCAAAAGCAACAACAACAAAAGCCAAAATAGACAAATGGGATCTAATTAAACTCCAGAGCTTCTTCATAGCAAAAGAAACAATCATTAGAGTGAACCAGCAACCAACAGAATG